TAACTGGATCTCAAATTCAATCTAAAATTAGTAATTTGAGGAAACAATATAGATATGTTCATATTCTGTACTTAATGCATGATATGCATAGATATGTACATATTCTGTACATTAATGCATAGATATGTACATATTCTGTACTTAATGCATGATATGCATAGATATGTACATATTCTGTACATTAATGCATAGATATGTACATATTCTGTACTTAATGCATGATATGCATAGATATGTACATATTCTGTACATTAATGCATAGATATGTACATATTCTGTATTTAATGCATAATACTTTGCTGAAATGCTGAAAGTATTTAACAAAATTAACCATGTATAATTTATAACTGAGTGTTATATTAAAAAGTACTTAAAATCTAATTCAGTATTGTAGATTTACAGCTTATGAATATTTTTCAATTATCAAATTTAAAGTTATTTGATTCATATTATATTGTATTAATGATATGCTTATATTTACTTATATTTATGTATATTTTTCATAGACGAGAAAAACTTCAAGTACTATTATCAAAGGAATTTTTACTTTGTAATTTCAAGCATTAAAATACATCTCTAGTGATATTTTTTAAATTTGCTATATTATTTTAACAGAGTGTATTTTATATGCTACAATTACTTTTTTTTTGTATCTCTATGCTATATATATTTAGTATTTTTAACCAAAGAATTATTTTTTTTGTGATATGATCAATCCTGTAGATGTATTTTTTTATTATGCCAGCGTGATTTGTTTTTATCTATATAAGTTGCTTTACAGATTATGCTGTATTAATTCTAAAAAAATGGTTTTTAACAACATCTTCTAATTTCTCTTAAACTGTAATATAATAAATATTATATTTATGTAATGACCCAGCGGGCATTCGAACATTTAATCAACGTTTAGTTAATGTTCGTTCTAAATGTTTAGATTAAATTTAGTTTCGATCTAGAACGTAGGTCAATCAAATGTTCCATATCTAAATGGTTCGTTTTAAACGTTATTTAAACTTCATCTAAATCTTTCGCTTTAAATTTCGCGACTTTTAACTTTATTTTACGGCGCTTATTTAAAGAAGCATAAATAAAAGTAATACTGATAAACGAATCAAACTTTTCTTTTATTTAAGCTGCTTTAAATAAGCACTGTAAAGAAAAGTTAAACGCTGAACGCATTATCTAAATACTCATAAACAAATCAAACGTTAAACATATAATTTTTTATTAATTTAAGTCTAAAATACAAGTAAAATCAATTTATTTATTATTATATGCATTATCGTATTTGTCATCATGATCGGCTCCATAATGATCATCGTCATCTTTGCTTGAACCGATTAAACCTCTTCGTCTTAAGTATTAGAAAAAAGGGACATAACCTTTTCTATTTCCACTTATACGGAAGAAAGCCATTCTAAGATGGGAACCAATGCACGATACCGTATTGTGGATACCGAAGTCATACAATCTCTTTTCTAAAAATAATAAAATAACTTAATAAACATCTTCATTCTATTCATATAAATCATTAATTCAACAACTTTATAAATCCATAGTGTTATAGATTTTAGAAGATTGTATATTAGTATAGTGTACATTGAGTAACTATAGTAACAATTGATAAAGAACTTTTTTTTAAAACTTTGTAAAATATATAACATTTATTATATTAAAAACCTTATAAAAAAAAACCTGTATTTATCGCAGTTATGGGTTGATAACTGATAAGTTGCATAACTGCTTTACAACTGCAGTGCCCTTCCTAAACATAGTAATACAATATTATATAGTATTCTATTACTTAATAACAATATCTGTACATCATATATATATATATATATATATATATATATATATATATATATATATATATATATATATATATATATATATATATATATATATATATATATGTATATATATATATATATATTAGTGGTAGTGGTGTACTGGTAGTGGTAAGTGTAGCGGTAGTGGTGTAGTGGTAAAACACTCGCTTCATAAGCGAGAGGTTTCGAGTTCAATCCCCACCACGTCCCTGGTAGTACCGCGCTCAACTTGTTTCTCCGTGCAGCGGCCTTGTTCGTCAAGATTCGTGTTTCGTAATTAAAGAGTTGAGAGAGGGTTATAACCACTATTAAGTAGCCTCCTCGTCTGTAGTGGCCTTCTCGGCCTTGAGGAGGTGAATAACAATATATATATATATATATATATATATATATATATATATATATATATATATATATATATATATATATATATATATATATATATATATATATATATATATATATATATATATATATAAGTTTGATAACTTCCAATATCCATTGCCTTGAGGAGCAGTAGGCATGTATCTTGTTTGATTGAAACTTTCTATTCAATTGAAAAGTTGTGGAGATACCGACAGTTTCACTACAACATAAATAAACATTTAAAAATAAAATTGTAATTTTTAAAGTTTTTAAAGTTAAAAACTAATTAATAAACATAATAATTAAAATTTATATATCAAAATCATATATGTGCTGATATGCAACTTAAGCTAAAAATTAAGTATTACTTGATCAATCCATTAGTTTGTGTTTTGATATAGTAGTTATGTGAATAATGGTATTTTAGAACTCAATTTTCGGGATAACAGGAGACTTTGCAAGTATTGATGGGTTAGCTGCAATGTAAATAACTGTATAGATATTTTATGTATGCAAAGTTATTTTAGATAAAATTTACTAAAGCGTAGTAAATTTGATTTTAAAAAGTCTATCCTAAAAGAATTATATTGCTAAATATGTTCATAAGTCATAAAATTAACAGGTTTATCCAAAAATAAAGGAGTTCTATATAAAAGATATAAATTTAGACATCTTACTTGATTGGTCCATAATACAGTCTTTTGGTATAGTAGTCACACTTTTTAGAATAAAGATATCTTAGAATGCAATTGAATGCTTGAGACAAGGTGGCTGTGGAAGTGGCGATGGTTTAACTAAAATGTAAATCAGAGTGTATATTGTTCATTACAACTATTATTAGTCTTCAAAGATGTAAAGTAGGACAACTTACTTGCGTAATCTTTGATATTTGCATATTAATAGTTAATAATACATTATTAATAATGCTAATTAATAATTCATAATTGAATATAATTGCGGTACCACATCCATAATCTTTTTGTGTAATTTGTACTTTTTTTTGTAACTTTTTTTTTTACATTGGTAACTTTTTTTTTTATACTTGAATGCATCATGCATGCATGCTATATCATAATATGACATGCATAAATAATGCATGCATATACTTATAGCACTAAGGCTTTCACATATTTTATTTCATGTTTATTGTAACATCAAATTTGCTAACCTGTCAATATTCGTACCTTTTGCAATAACATTAACATAAAATTCTTCCTCAACTAAAAAATAAAAACTATTTTATTATACCGTAAAAATGGTTAATCATTTACTTAATAAAACTTGCTTCTTTTTTTTATACATAAAAATTAGAACAAACTATATAAAACTATTATCTTTAAATTTATAATAAACTTTGCATTAAACTAGTAATATTAACTCCAAAGAAATTAAAAAAAAGTTTATTTAAATTAGAAGAATGCAAAATTATGTATTAATTATAAGCTACTATTTTCAGTTTATATATTATTAGTTTCTATATAAACATTAAGAAATTAAAATGAAAACTTTAAAAGAGTTGTAAAATCAGTACTTTTGCGCTATTTTGTTATCTGCTGATTATCAACGTCTTCTTCCGTTTCTGTTATTTAAAACTTTTGCAATCCTCATAACAATCCGTAAAAGGAATAACAAAACATCTTATCCAAAGCAAAGTAAATTATTTAACATTTTGTGAATAAAAATTATAATATCACAAATTAAAATAACAATTCAATAAAATATCAAGCTTTTGGTTCTTCCAACCAAACAGCCTTTTTTTGCTGACTTTAGTTTCCTAATTTCAAAGGAATGATATAAATATACATACTATATATTTCAACACGTAAAATTTCATGCTTGGTAGGTCATTCGTAACATAATAAAATAAATAAATAATAATGCAATAAATATTTCAACAGCTTTTAGATATAGAACATAAGATAAAAACAGAACAATTTGTACTCTCTTTTAACTAATTTAAACTTTAAAGACTTGAAACAATCATTAACGCACCTTTTATATAAAACAGGAATTACCTTTAATCTTACACTATTTTTAAAGCGTTTAATTTTTAAAAATAAAACGCTTTAAAAATAGTGTAAATAGATTTTCATAAACCTGAGCAATTAGATTATCATTTAAAAGGTAAATATCTGACAGACTTTTAACTATTAGAATCATATCTAAAAGTACAGAGTTTAATAAAAAAATAACTATTAGTTTTAAAATCACTGCAATTTCTATTTACAGAATCATCTTTACAGGAATATTCATTAATTCAATTATTATTTTAGGAAAATTTTACCACTTGCATGTCTACTTGGCTGTTTCCTGCTTTAATTGTTGTTGCAACTGACTGGATTGTATATAAAATATTAAATGTAATTAAACACGCAAACAAACAAACTTAATTAACATTAAAAAATATATTTGCGTGGATTTTAGAAAATTAGGTAATATAGCTATATATATAATTGTTCAAACTATGATCTACTAATCATATCAGAGGAAAGTAAATTTATTTTTTCTTTAGTGGTTATCATTTAGGAGTATGAATAATACTTAAATTTAAAAAAATATTTTTCAGTTTACACTAAAAATACTACACTAAAACTGAAGATCCATTATATAAATATTTGAGCCTCAAAATTTTTGATTGGCATTGACTGCACTAAAAGTATAAATTGCTATTCAATCAATATAATATTTATCATAAACAAATAGATGTTAGGTCTTAATAAAAACAAACAATAATTTTATTTAGTTATTTAAAGAGTAGTTACCACTTAAAATGCATAATTTTTCTCTAAAACTTTTAGAGAA